GGTCCCAATCCCGGACAAAGGAGGAGCGTTGGGTATGGGGTTAGCGACCTCATCCCATAGAAAACTAACTCGCTAAAAAACGCTAACCAGAAAAAATCATTCAAACCACTAAAACTCCGCCCTGGGAGTCAGAAGGTCTTCATTTAGAAGAGTTATGACGCCTCATGATGAAAGCCGAATTCCTTCGGAAGTTACGAGGCCGATGCCCCTTCTGACAACCAGAGACCATTTATTTAGGTACATGGAATGTTCGTACAATGTGGGACACCGGAGAGCCTTCCAAATTGCTGCAGAAATGAGAAGATACAACCTAGAGGTACTTGGGATCAGTGAAACACATTGGACGCAAGTTGGACAACAACGACTAACTACAGGAGAGCTTCTGTTATACTCCGGCCATGAAGAAGAAAATGCTCCACATACACAAGGAGTTGCATTGATGCTGTAAAAACAAGCACAAAATGCACTTATAGGATGGGAATCTCATGGACCAAGGATCATCAAAGCCTCCTTCAAAACAAAGAAAGAGGACATTTCAATGAACATCATCCAATGCTATGCGCCTACCAACGACTACAATGAAGACGCTAAAGATCAATTCTACAATAGGCTGCAGTCAATCGTCGAGAAGTGCCCAACAAAGGACTTGACCATTCTGATGGGAGATTTCAACGCCAAGGTTGGAACGGACAACACTGGATATGAAGACATCATGGGACGACACGGACTGGGAGAAAGAAACGAAAATGGTGAGAGATTTGCAAATCTATGTGCCTTCAATAAGCTGGTCATAGGCGGCACCATATTCCCACATAAACGCATACACAAAACCACATGGACTTCACCGGATCACTATACACAAAACCAAATCGACCATATTTGCATCAACAAAACGTTCAGGAGGACTATAGAGGACGTGAGAACCAAGAGAGGAGCTGATATAGCATCAGATCATCACTTGCTGGTCGCCAAGATGAAATTGAAACTCAAGAAGCACCAGACAACAGCACAAAAGTTCAATACGGCCTTTCTTCAGGATACTAACAAACTCAACAAATTCAAGATAGTCCTCAGCAACAAGTTCCAGGCCTTTCATGATCTACTCAATGGAGAAGGAACTACTGTGGAGAGCAACTGGAAGGGGATCAAAGAGGCAATCACTTCAACATGTCATGAGGTCCTGGGTCACAAGAAGCACCATCACAAGGAATGGATCACTGTTGATACACTGGATAAGATTCAAGAAAGAAGGAACAAGAAGGCAGCAATCAATACCAGTCGAACAAGAGCAGAAAAAGCCAAGGCACAAGCTGAATACACAGAAGTAAACAAACAAGTGAAGAGAAGCATCAGAACCGACAAACGTAAATATGTGGAAGATTTAGCAACGACGGCGGAAAAGGCTGCAAGAGAAGGAAACATGAGACAACTGTATGACACGACAAAGAAACTCTCTGGAAATCACCGCAAACCGGAACGACCAGTGAAAAGCAAGGAAGGCGAGGTAATCACCAACATTGAAAAACAGCGAAACAGGTGGGTAGAACACTTCAAAGAACTCTTGAATCGACCAGCCCCACTGAACCCACCCAACATCGAAGCAGCACCCACGGACTTCCCAATCGATGTTGGCCCACCAACAATTGAAGAAATCAGCATGGCCATCAGACAAATCAAGAGTGGAAAAGCAGCAGGACCAGACAACATTCCAGCAGAGGCACTGAAAGCAGACGTAGCATCAACTGCAAGGATACTCCACATTCTCTTCAGCAAGATTTGGGATGAAGTACAAGTACCAACAGACTGGAAAGAAGGACACATCATCAAAATACCAAAGAAAGGCGATCTCAGCAAGTGTGATAACTACACGAGCATCACTCTTCTCTCAATACCGGGAAAAGTCTTCAACAGGGTATTGTTAAACAGGATGAAGGACTTCATAGACGCCCAACTTCGAGAACAACAGGCAGGATTCCGTAAGGATAGATCGTGTACAGACCAAATCGCAACTATACGGATCACTGTGGAACAATCAATTGAATGAAATTCATCACTCTACATCAACTTCATTGACTACGAGAAAGCATTTGATAGCGTGGACAGAACAACACTATGGAAACTTCTTCGACACTACGGCGTGCCTCAGAAGATAGGCAATATAATACAGAATTCCTATGATGGATTAAACTGCAAAATCGTGCATGGAGGACAGTTGACAAAGTCGTTCGAAGTAAAGACCGGTGTTAGGCAAGGTTGCTTACTCACATCCTTTCTCTTTCTCCTGGTGATCGACTGGATCATGAAGACGTCAACATCTGAGGGAAGCATGGGATACAGTGGACAGCTAGGATGCAGCTGGACGATCTATGCATCGCAGATGATCTGGCTCTTGTCTCACACGCAACAGCAAATGCAGGAGAAGACGACCAGTGTAGCAGCAGTAGGTTTCAACATACACAAAGAGAAAAGCAAGATTCTCTGATACAAGACAGCATGCACCAATCCAATCACAATTGACGGAGAAGATTTGGAAGATGAAAAAGCCTTTACATTAAGTACGTTTTATGAAACAACTGTTTGCTTAAATTATACGTATCTATCTAGACGAAAACCAAATAGCTTATAAAGCTTTTCTGACATTTCACCCAAATAAATGAAGTAACTAGATTATTTAGCTTAATTATGATCTTGTTCAAGTTACATATAATTTTTTTCTGAGAATGAATAAGTCTGTAAAAAACCTACATAATGAGGAACAATACTTTTTATAATAAATTTCTCAGTAATTTGATTAATGTCGTGACGATAGGTGTCAAATATCAATCAATTATGCAAACTCAGTCAAATGAAATAATAAATTAGAAAAACTTGATTCTATTGTTATGTTTAATTCGTGGAACCCAAAACACTGAAGACTATGTTGGTAATTTCACACATCTGGTTCTCTTGAAGATTTCAAAAAAAGTAAAAATAAGATGATTAACTGAACGAATTGAATTCATCATTATATTTCAATGCTACTTATAGCAGACTAAATTTACAACGAAAAATAAGACTAAAAATAAAGAATAGACATACTCCAGTTGAATTCAGGCCGAAAGTTTGGGACGAGACAGTAAAAAGAATAAGAGAAGAATTGACATTACATACTGGTATAAATTTACGTATATTTAAGTGGGAAAACTATCCTTATAAAGTAAAAGTGAGGTCACAAATACATATTTAAACAAGAATATGGTAAATATAACTCAGTGAGCGAATCAGTCGGACAATAAGTCTGAGATTATATAATACGTGGAGTGGTAGCTTGGAAGTGAATTGCTTATAGCTATTGAGTTGCGCGTTCGAATCCCACTTTACAAAATCATGTTTGAACAGCTGGGCAGTGACAATGCAACTTAATACTCAAGTAAGGATTCGTGCAATGAACTCAACATTGCTGTGACGACGGAAACTATTATTCAACTACTGGTACTGTTTTACATTCAACAGAGTTCGGATCTATGACCCATTAAATGAAAGTTTAGGCCATAAATTCTTAAGAGATACGATACTTTGGACCAGCATGTACGCTTCTTCGTTGATTAGACAATCGATCATGATTCAGATGAGTTTCAGTAGTGCATAAATGTCGAACCATCACACAAATGAGTCATCAATCGATATCGCAAAATGACAACAATCCGGAAGTCCACCATACAAGATACTGTCTACAATACACTCAGGTAATAAATAATTTAAAACGCATGTAAAATTCGCGTAGACTCATTTTTAACGAGTTTTCACAAGTAGCCATAATCTATCTGTTCTATAAAACTATCAGCTAATCGCCCCCTCAATCGAATCAGATAACCAGTAATTTGAGTGACAAAATCAAATTGCCGTGCCGTATGTCTGAAATAATATATTGTATTTGAATGCTGTCTGTAATTAAAAGTGAATATGAATTTTCCTACGAAAAATAAGAAATCGCGCTATAAATGTCAAAAACACAAGGTTGCACAAACTACGTAAGAAACATAAGACACACGAACAATCTTCACCTTTATTAGAACAATCACACTTGATGGTATAGCGCTCCTTTGACTGGTTGGATAGATAAAAAAGTAGTTAGAAGGGATGCCATAGACGTAAGCTAGATGCAGGCAATGTTATAAATCAATAAATGTATTAGGTGAGTCAGACCAGTAGAGGGTAGAACTTGATATCATAAACATTAACCAGTGTCAATCTCTATTCGTTAAATTATACCAGCAACACCTACGCACTATAAAGGGGTAGACAAACGAAGAGTAATTATTTTTTGTTACATCAATCACAATACAATCTAATTCAAAACTGTACAAAACAAATGCGCGGTGATGATGAACATCAGTAACTTGTGCATTAAGAATACATCATTTAGATGAAGATCAATTAATTATTCAGTTTGTGTATAGTAATAGTGACCAATATCATATACTGTCTGTCGATTCGAAAATATGAAGACAATGTTCACGTTTACTACCGAGCAAAATTTGATACTAGATTTAATCGCTAATAATTTCACATAACGTAATATAAGATGGCGACCGATTATAATAGAATAAAACCCATGTTGACTCAGTGAAAAAAATTAAAGGCTGGTGATCTCATCGTAGACCTATTCACAGTTATAATGATGATGGCATACGACAATGTTATGCAAGATATGTACAGCGATAATATGGGATATCAACATCTAGCAGCAGATAAATTCCTTTGACTGCGAAATAAAGTAACAGAATAGGGGACAGTGGTTACATGTCTATCACACCAAGACAGGTATATATATATATATATATATATATATATATATATATATATAGCTAAAGAGATTACGATTGGCTAAGTATGAACCTTTGAGCTAAAATAGACAACCTACTAATGAGACAAAAGGATAACAATGGTAAAAAAAAACAAACGACTAGGCTAACTATTGCTCAACGAAATAAGTAAATATGAGTACAGCAATCGCTTACTTTTTCACATGAACTTATCTCACTAGAAATTTTCTTAGCTTTTGAACCCGGCGGACGTCCCCTTCTACCGGAACTCAATGGAGGCATTGAAAAATTAGGTGTAAGCGATAAATTTACAGGTTTTCCATTAGTGGTATTAGGAGTTTGTTTAGCTGCTAGAGGATGAAGTCGTGTAGGTGTAATATTACGGTCAGTTGGTCCGGATTTGCTAGTCACTTTAGTGCATGATCCATTGGAGGTTTGGTAAGCACCGGATGAAGTATTTGGTGGAAGTAGCTTTTTATTAGACAATAGTGGTGTATGCATATTACTATTATTCATATAGGCCTTTTTATGTTCTCCTGTCTCGTCTAATATATAACGTCCATCTGATGTTTTAGCCAGTTTCCCATGAGTAGCTTCACGATCGAGACAGACACGAAGAGTTGCTCCGGTTAACTCCGGTATTGATTTAGGTGAACCATTTAAATCACTTAAAAATTGTAAAGCTCGTTCAACTTGAAAAAGACTGTAACCACCATTTGGTCCTGGTTGTGAAAATGGGATTAAATTAGTACATGACTGTGTTGATTGACTTGACAAATTACTTTCCATGAGACTACGAATAGCATCAACTAGTTTATGACTTACACTAGGCAAATTAGTATTACCAGTACCGGAAGTCGCTGCCGTTTTACGCCATTTTGATGGATTCCGATAGCTTAAATTACCTTTGTAATCGACGCATACAACTGCTCCAGCATCAGCAAGACGTTGAAGGCATAAATGAGTTTGTTCTGAATTTATGTTTTGATGTCTTTTTAAGAGACAAGAGATACGTTCAAAATCAGGTCGAGCTTTTCGTTCACGCAACTTATCAATAGCATCCAAAATGGCATCTCGATGAAAGTCAACTGCTTCTAAAGCCTGTAGATTTCTAACATTACCAACTTTTGGAGGGACTGAAACAAGAGGTTTTTCATTTCTGAACGATAATGTCGAAGCATGATCACCATTGACTGATGGGAGATAAGTGGTTGCATTTGGATTGGAAGACAGAGTGGCAACTGTTGTCATCGGTAAAATAGTAGGATTATTTAAAGGAAATAAGGTTGCTGTGTAAATTGGTGTTGTATAGTTGGAGGATGATACGAGAAAAGAATTTGTTGTCTCCGTTATTGAGTTAGATGGCAGGGATTGAGGTATTCCTATGGGAATAGGTAAGACACTGACAGAGTTCGTTTGAGCTTGATTACTAAATGCTACAGGAAGTGTAGGTAGCATCATTGGTTGAGAAGACAAGATGCCAGATGATATCTGATTATTAGATGGAAATAAAGGTACAGGCAGTGTAGATGGGTTCCCAGATGTAGACACAGATGAAGAAAACGTGGAAAGTGAATTACTATGTCCTGGATGAACAAAATGAGACATGGGAGTACCGAATGGTGATGGCATAGATAGAGATGAAGAGTTGGATGACATAAGATTACCAGAAGTAGGTGCGAAGAATGGAAGAATCGGTGTCTGAAGTTGTGGTGGACTCGAAAGCGGAACTGTACATGTAAGGTTTGCCGGATTTGGAGGGAAGTTACTAGGTGGCAGTAGAAATGATCCTGGGTTTAACGTTTGCGTTGAACTAATATTTGAAGGCATCATATTTGTTGGCATTGACAATATTGTTCCTGGAGAATTTGGCAACGAAGATGGAGAGGCAGGAAACATGTTGTTAATTGCAACAAACGCGGTCGGACCTCCAGTTTGTGCGGTTGCTAACATAGCTGGAAACTGTGTTAAATTAGTGGGGCCAAATGACATGCAGCAAACCAGAATAGTGAAATACTAGAGAAACCCCAAAATCTGGTTGATTAATACAATGTAATAATCCAAATCGTAGTCTAAACGTACAACCGACGCATACAACGCGATTAAATTAAATAAGTGGAAGAGATACGTATTCGCTCATTCTATGACCTAACGAATGAGAGTCAAGCTAGACAGGGTGGTATTAGATCATGCATTAAGATGTATGTACGACAACCAAACAATTGTCCGTGCGTTGGTGTGTTTATCTATTTCATTTAATGAAATTAAATAAACATATACTACACAAACACATCGTAATACTGACCACACCTAGCGAACGCATACACCTATACACATTAATATACTATTAGCCTTGAATAACAGGCAGGGTGGATTGAGAATAGACCAACCAAAATTCTCATTGCTATTTCATGATTGGTTGATAATATAGTACACAAGCGACACTCTCTATCACAACGGATGTCAAAAAGCTGGGGGTCGATTTGACCTTCGCATTCAGCTAAGCCTTTTCATTGATCTACCAACTGGGGGAGAGTAAGATAGTGTATTTAAAGCCTACATTCCTGACCCACATTGTCTAGGTCATTTTTACATTGGCAGTTGAAAGCCTCCGCTAGAAGCCTATTAAGCTAAGATACGTCTCTTACTATTAATTTAGTGGGGGGGGGTTGACATAACGCAAAGTATGAATCAATATTTTGTCTATGCAGACAAACTGAAATATTTCGCGCATGTTCGCTTTTGGCATCAATGTGTATAAGTACAGTGATCAGTTGTATCAACTTATCTGCAGTAAAATTAAAATTGATAAACGCGCTATAAATAAATAGTGGAGATATGAAAAAAATTTAACCGATTTGCGAAAACTTGATTAATGCTGTAAGCCTTTACTCGTAAAGCCAAACAAAGCTTTGTATTTAAGTTTAATATGTATGTGCATGTAAGCATTTGCATACATGATAAAATAGAACAAATAAACCCACAGTTTAGTTGCGCGTTTTCGCACACACACACACTTGGGTAAGAGAGGTAAATTTCGTTCATCTAATTCTGACCTTACTGACTAAACATGACATATCATCACCCTTCATAATAACGTTATGAGGGAAATTAAAAATTATCTGTGACATTTGGATCTAAGACTAAGATGCATTTGTGAACAAGCAAAACATAGTGAACTAAAAATAAGAATAACTGTAGTAGGCTTTTCTCTGAACAAAATATAATAACCATGGTAGGTAGTGATTAGGATACAACCCATTGCCTGAAAAGGTGGGGGTTCGAACCCACGAAACATGAGGCAAAAAAAGAAATGAAAAGCATTTTAACACTGGTTATGTTTAGTTCTAAATCAAAAAAATGTATGATAAAGGTCTCCCATAGAAAATTTGTAGAATAGTTTGATGTACCTAGTCATGTTGCATATGTAAAACTTCATTAAATACTTCCGGATCAATAAGGAATTACAGAAAATGCATTCCTTTTAGACTCCGAATCTTCGTCGATAAAAACAAATCAATAAACCCATAAGAATACATTTTAAATCTATTTTACAGATTTTATATAGAGAACTTTAAGCCTGGAAATGCTCCTTTTCATTATGGGTTAGAAATAGACAATGCTACAACTATTTTCTCATTGGTCATATGGTTCATGAGTTCGAATCCTCCTTCTTGAGCATAGGTAAATTGGACAGCTGTTTCATGTTAATTTGAAGCTAATAATCAGTAAATACCCCAAAAATCGCTCTTCGTTCTAAGCTTTGATGTCTAGAAGTATGAATTTTATCCGACCACTTAGATGAGATATGATAGTTTACATTTTACAACTTCAGTCAACTTGCAATACGCTGCAACTATCATCTGATGCCTTCGGTTAGTAACTTCACCATTCACGACTTGATTTTCTCAAGAGCTTAAGTTTTCTAGCCAGGAGCTTAGAGAAACTTACAAATATATAACGTTTTAAATGTCATGATAGTCTATGATGTTTTAAAAACTTTGTTTAGAAAGGTAATGAAAAGTTCACGACTAAGTCATACAGCTCATTGTACACAACTCCAATAAACATATATACATATTCATAACATTTTACATTGCACTATTGCTACTACTACTATTCACAATAACAGTAATAATAATAATACCGATGGCAATAACGCTCAGAAATAAAATCAATAAATTTTAGCAAATGGTAAAAGATTATTTTAATAATCAAATTGGCCAATTGTTAATAATTCGATCAATTAATTGAAATGTACTTGGTTACACAACAATAATATGTGATGGTCGATAAACTAATGATAAATAGACTTTCGTCATTTCTGTATTAGCGAATTTCTAGAAAGGGGGTCATTATAAACGCTTGTAAAATAATAATAATAAACAATATATGTATTTAATCATCAATAATTAATCAATCTTTGGTGTGTACTAACATTTATTCTTTTGAAATATAGTGTAAAACGAGATGTAAATAAATTTCCTTTCTTTTGTTTGGCTGAATGTTACTAAAAATGTAGAAATAGAATTTATTGACTTATAGATTCTAGGATCACGAATATTATTAGTTTTAAAACAGTTAATCCCATTGACAAATTTGGATAGTACAATGAGAAGACGGAGGTTATGAGAACTATATGATACATTTTTACAATGCATTTCAAACATTATGATCACACATATGCATGGGACATTATATTCTGAAAAAATAAATGGTTAACTAGGCAAATTAAGATATAAAAAGAAACACAGACAGTACTAATAATAAAGTATACGATGTGAAAACCAATCTGAATAATAAGTCACTAGTATCATTAAAGATTAAGGATAAGCAGACACTGTTTATGAACACATAAAAGGGGTTTCAATTTTCGCATACCCAAGGCTTCAATAAACCTTTAATATACGTCCTTTAACGTTTTTACACAACACCATAAAAACTGACTTAATATCAACCCTATAACCGGTCTCAATCAAATGTTTCGGAATGGACGAAGATATATTTTATCCTGTAATATTATTGAACCATTCGAGTTGATTTGTTTTTACGAACTCATTTAGACATGTGTTCAGTACATAGTTCTGAAAACCTTCTCATTGGATTATTATAACAATATTAATATCATTTTCACTCGGTACTATTCTCAAAAATATATTTATTGGGGTAAACATTCACAAAGAGTTAATTTAAATCACTCAAATAACTTTATCAACGAACGTGTGTTCACTCAGAAACAACGATAAGACTATTCTAATACAAACTTGTTAATACTAATGCAGAACTTACCAGTGCAAGAGTATGAGTTAGAACTGTTACGACTATATGGTCGAGATTGACATGAATTATCGTAAGTTACTTTAAATGTACATAATGATAACAACTGTCAAACAATCTCTTGGCTACTTTCAACGATTCACCATAATCAAGAATAAAAATACAGGTTGTTTCCAGATTTTGAAAATGTAGTTCGCACTTTGATAATATGAAGCACACAATAATTTCAGTTGCTTATCACCAAGTGATTAAGTTAGATTCACGTAGACTTCATACTGCCACACAGTAAAACGAAATACTTAATGATACCAAGGCTTTTTCACTCACAATCTGATTTACATCATCATCATGTACTTCCTCTATGATTGTTCTTAGAATGCTACTTATGAGGAAAATTACGATGCAGTAGTGACATTCAACAATTTTGCCTAATTTCGCTGACAGTTTGAAACATTGTCGAATCGTATACTTAAGATCATGTTGTAAATTGCTGTCATGATATTTCATTAAATTTATGAGAAATTACTCTTGTGAAAAATGCCATCTGTAGCGGCTTAAGGACTTCACAATATGTGCTTCTAGTCTCGATTTCAACATTGTCTTAATCTGAGGCTTGTGTTATTATTCAATGTTGTTTATTGTTTTCCTTGATGAATGTAAGTGCATTGTGTGAGCCTGTTGGGTCATCGACTCAGCTTTTCCAACTTTCGTCACTCACTTTACTCTTCATGCTCTCCTAGAATATAAAGTACATTTTGGTTAGACATGAACCGCCATACCATCAAACAGATTGAAAAACATCTATATTAAGGTCAAGAATTCATAAAATATGTCCAATCGCCTACTAGTTTTAACTAAGTAACTGATTAAAATTCCTATGATTTGAACAAAGTAATCATACTATCAGTTAACCTGAGACTGATTTATTATCGTAAAATATTGATTCTTCGTTTTCTTTTCAGAAATTTAATCTATAATTTGTTTAAAGAGATTAGTATATTATCCATCAATATTTATTAACTCAAATAAGCTTTCAAGAAAAGTACTTTGAAAAAAGGTTTAACAAGACTGAATTGAGATGCGAAATATTATGAATTTAAATTGTCATTTAGCAACATTATCAAATGATATCAATCAAATAATATTGCAAAGATCAGTGCATTTGGTAAGCATTAATTTTAGATTTATGTAGAGTAGTGGTAACAGGGGTAGGGAAGAACAACTATGTTGATAAGCATCACAAATTGATCTTAGCTGTTTGTAATATTAAAAACTAGGATTGGGCAGCTATCGTGTGTAAGTGTAGAACTCTTCAGCAGTATATACCAATCTAAAACCTTTAAGTCTTGCGATGAATACACTTAATTGTTAAACAAATGGTTTCCAATCTAATGAAACATAATTCCAACTTCAATTAATATGTGATATGAAATGCCCATCATTCAGCATTCTTGGTAGCAACTGTTTCAATCTAGACATATTTAAGGTCAACTGATCATTATTTCAGAAACTTGTCATAATTAGATTAATTGAAAGGACTTCTAATAAACAGTAATATTGATCAGCATGGAAAGAATAATTTTCTCTTCAAATGGTTCAGCCATAACAACAACACAAACACTAAACAATAGCAGCTATCAGAGTGACTATTGTTTCTAGACAACGACGACCTTTGAGCGATACAAAAGTAACGTTGAGAAACTTCAACTAATTAG